TTGAGTACATTGAAGCAGGACTGTTTTGAAACATTTATGATAAATGGGTCGCCCCACACTGACAGTGCATAGCGAAACACGGTGAATACTTTGAAAAACATTTTAAAAAATCTTATAACGTCATGACGTTTATGACGGCATGCGCCAGGTATGTATAGGTAGCATTCTTTCAATTTTGATAACTTGGTCAATTTTGGAGGTATTTTGATTTTATTTCGCATGGACACACATAAAAAGTGTATTGACTTTTCCCTAGCTGGAGGACTCTATTGTATTATAATTGATTGAGTAACAGACTTTGTCTACGATATTTTGGGACAACCCTCGTAGGTGTGTTCAAAAACGGGTTGCTCTGTTAAATTGAATCTCTACGGTATATATAGGTGTGTGCGAAAATAGGTTGCATTCTTAAATTGAATCTATTTAATGTATACAGGTGAGTGAAAATACGAGTTTCACTCCTTCTTACCTATATGGATACATATAATTGTCCCAAAAAAAGTACAAATGCTTGTTATTAAGACGTTTTATAAAGTAAATCAGTGCTTGATTATCTTGATTACCTAAAATTGTCACAAAAAAGGCGAAAAGGGGGAATTAATATGCAAACTAGAAATGTGTCGTCACGCCACGGATGCCCCGCATGCAGATGTTATAATATTTAGTTCAAAATTTGTTTGCACAACTTTTTTTTTTCATTTTAGAAGTTCAAAGCCCTTAAAACTATTCAATGTTAACACAAACCATTTTTATACAAAGTTCAAGGCACTGAAACTATTCAGTGTTAACCTTTTGTAAATTGCATAGTGCATATTTGTAGCCAAAATAATGGCTACATACATTTCCACAAAAGCATGAGTGCTGGAACTGAATAATTCCAAATTTTTCCAACATTCAAGAAAGGTAACTTTGTCCAAAATCATTGAACCACGACGAAATTCGCGCTTGACCTGCGCATTTCTTTGACGTATCCATGTGTCAAATTTGAGTTTAATGTGTAATACCCGACGGAAACTGAAAATTTCATATTATTTTCAAATTGAAAGGGACATAACTCTGCCAAAAATCATCGAACCATGACCAAATTGAAACTTTACCTGCACATTCCTTTAACGTATCCATATGTCAAGTTTGAGTTGAATGTGCAATACTGTTGGGTAGATAATGAATGGAAACTGAAAATTTCATATTATTTTCAAAGTCAAAAAGGGCATAACCCTGCCAAAAATCATGGAACCGTGATCAAATTCAAACTTGACCTGCGCATTCCTTTGACGTATCCATATGTCAAGTTTGAGTTGAATTTGTAATACCGTTGGGGAGATAATGAGCGGAAACTGAAAATCTTTTTTTTTCAAGGGGCATTACTCTGCCAAAAATCATCGAACCATGACCAAATTCGAAGTTGACCTGTACTTTCTCATGACATATCCATATGTCAAGTTTGAGTTGAATGTGTAATACCGTTGATTATGGGGGAGATAATGATTTAAAATTATTTTCAAAGTAAAAGGGGCATAACTCTGCCAAAAATCATTAAAACCATGACCAAATTCGAACTTGACCTGCATTTTCTCATTACATATCCATGTCAAATTTGAGTTGAATGTGTGCAACCGTAACTAAGATAATGAAGGGAAACTGATGATGACGGAATGACAGAACAGGGCAACACTATATGCCCCAGCCTATATGGCGGGGGCATAAAAAGCAAAGTGCCAATCATGTTAGATAATCAGAGAGAACAACAGTGTGAAGTTTCAAGCCATTCCCTTCATGGAGATACCAGCTTACACGTAAAAACTTAACCACAGCAACGCCGATGCCGACAAATGGGTGACTGCATTATCTCGAGTATTCTGCCAATAATCCAGCTAAAAATGGGTTGCACACTTAAATTGAAGCTAATTAAGGTATTTATGCGTACACAAACAGGCTGCATTCTTAAATCTAATATATCTAAAATATTTATGTGTGATTCAGGTTAACTTGCATTTCTTAAATATAACACGTTAAAACAATTTTAACAAATTAATATAAGTTTAACACGAAGCAGTCACAAACCAGAAAAACTTTGGGTGTGGAGCTTAAAACGCCTTTAAAATTCAAATAAAATGTATAATTGTCAATCCCAGCACATGCACTGAGCATATATATAAAAAAAAACTTCATATAAGCCTTTTTGAAAAAAAAATCATATTTCAACGTCTATAATTATAGACGTTGAAATATGATTTTTTTCAAAACGGCTTATATGAAGTTTATGTATGTATATATATGATCAGTACATGTGCTGGGATTGACAAATTTATATACATTTTATTTGGATTTTGAAGGCGTTTAAGCTCCACGTACAAAGTGTCTGTGTGACAAACTGCCTGTCTATTAGACATTTTTTTCCGTAAAAATTGATCCATTTTTTACCACTGACAAAGGTCATTATAACTCAAAAAGTGAAGTATATAATGTAAAACACTAAATTACACACAGTTTCTCGTATGTATTCTAAGGGTCCACCCGCCCTTTCAGACACCACAGTGCGAACATCGGACATTGTACCATTCATGTCCTTTTATGTTAACCCTTTCCCCCATGAGCATATTGTTAAAAAAAAGCCGTTTTCACTGAAAAGCCTCCTGTTACAAGTTCAAACTGCTATGAAACTATGAAAAATGCTTCAATACTAATCAAACTTGGCACAAACGTTGACTGGACCATTGCCTTTGTAAAGACATGCTCAGTCTTAAATTTCCTGTTACCATGGCAACGAGGGGACATCTCAAAATTGCCAAAAATCACTATTTTGCCTCGATTTTTTCCATCAAAATTTATTTCAAAGTGCTGCAACTGCTCAAGGGATTGAGATAGAGTCAAAGGCTTTTCAGCGTTGGTTAAACGTTACATTATGATCGACCTTGGGCCATTTTTAGCCTCTCACAAGTCCAAAATTTTCTTGGCGATGAGGGGGACTCCGCCCCCCTTCAAACCCCCCTAACAGAAGGGGGCACATCCCCCTTCTGGCAACCCCCTGATGTATCTTTTGGATGGGGGGCGGCGCCGAAAAAGTGCTCAATATTTTTAGCAACATTTCTCAAACGAAAACTTATGTTTGGGGCCCAAATAGGACATTTTTTCACTATTTGAGGCCTAAAAAAGGGGGAGGGGGGGGGGTCGAAAGTGCGTTGTTTCGCGTATATATGTGGTAAAGGGTTAATATCTACCAAAATGTGACCTATAAATTTTAAATTCAGTTTTTTTTTTAGGAAGCATCCTTTACCAAACAGTAAACCAAAAATGAGGCAGAGATATGTCTAGCGAACTACTTTAAAACTGTGTCACATTCAGACTTACTTTCAAAATCACGATTACACTGTGATTCATAATAGAGGATTGCTGCATCTTTGTTGTGCATTAAAATCCACAGAAGCATAAGGCTCTCTATACCTTAAGGTTAAATTTGGCAAACATGTTTTAAATTTATTTACTATTAATAATTTATAGAAATTTTATATATCTATAAAAAGTGGATATGACGGCCATTCGATACATATCAAAGGTCTTATATCTAAAATATTTAGATTTTACACTCATTCTTAATTTGGCAGTTCTTATGAATAATAGATATTAAGTAACTGTAACAAGTGCGAAACATTAACTTATATAAATTTTATGGCGATAGGATTTTTAAAACAGGTTGCATGTAATAAATTCATGTATCAGTAAAAATTAAAAAATTCCATCTACATGAAAAATAAATGTCTTGTTAAGTTCCGTAGGATATCATTATCCAAGGTAATATTAAATATTTATACTCGGTGGAACAAAACAGAAGTTGTCTGCAGTCTCTAACTAATGTCCATGTAGGAGTCGGTATTCAGACAGTTGAGTTCAAACAAGAGGGCCATGATGGCCCTGAGGTCGCTCACCTGTATATAGGCCCCCGGATTGGGGCCAGTTTAAACCCCAGGGCTTTTATTTGAACAAACTTGGAAGACACCCATTAGAAGATGTTTCATGCTGTTAAGTTTTTACTACACACATATAATGAAAAACAATGATCTTCCTTCCGCCCTCCCCCCGGCAGGGCCAATTTTAACCCAAGGGCTTTTATTTGAACAAACTTGGTAGATGTTTCATCCTAAACATCTAAGCTCTAGCTCATTGGGTTTTTTAAAAGAAGATTTTTTAAGTTTTTACTATACACATATAGTTAAAAACAATGACACCCCTGGGGTGGGGCCAGTTTTGACCCCAGTGCTTTTATTTGAACAAACTTTGTAGACACTTACTAGAAGATGTTTCATGTTTAATATCTAAACTCTAGCTATTTGGGTTTTTTCAAGATTTTTAGGTTTTTGCTATACACATTTCAGGAAAATCAATGACCCCCGGGGCGGGGCCAATTTTGACACCAGGGCTTTTATTTGAACAAACTTGGTAGACACCCATTAGAACATGAAGATTTTTTTAAGTTTTTACTATATGCATATAGGGAAAATCAAAGACCCCCCTGGGGCGGGGCCAATTTTGACCCCAGGCCTTTTATTTGAACAAACTTGGTAGACACCCATTAGAAGATGTTTCATGCTAAATATCTAAGCTCTAGCTCTTTAAAAGAAGATTTTTTAAGTTCTTACTATATGCATATAGGGAAAATCAATGACCCCCTGGGGCGGGGCCAATTTCGATATATAAAGTTTTTTCATTCTGTTGCCATGGCAACCAGAGTTCTGCATGGAATGGAATTCTTTGAACAACTTTGTTAAAGCTTCACACAAGGAACATCCCTGTGAAGTTTCATTATGATCTGCCTTATGGTTTCAGAGGAGATGTCCTTTTAAAAGTGTGAACGGACAACAGACGAAGAGTGATCCTAATAGCTCACCCTGAGCATATGCTCAGGTGAGCTAAAAAGCACTAGATACACTGTTCGTTCGGCAGTTTTAATTTAGGAAACACTACTATATGCAGCTCATTTATTAAGAGTAAAAAAAAGAAGATAATTTTTCTACTTTTATTTCATATACTTGCAATTACAATGGATTTTCAACAATGTTAATATGAAGACTGAATACAATTTTGTATGAGAATTTTGAAGTTAACATCCCAAACATAAACAAAATATATGTATATTCGCTTTACAAGCATGTATTCAGCCATCTTGAACATCAAACAAAATGTAAATATCAGTTGAAAACATGCTAGTTTTACTTATGCTTTCCAAAAATAATATTGATCTTTTTTTTCCCTCTCTCTCTAAAAAAAGACAATTTGTATATTACAGTTACAAAAATAAAAATTCTGTCACACAAATTCTTGGTTGAAAAAACACAATTGCACAGTAAAACACTTGTTATATCATACAGTTGCATTCTATAAAGGATAGTTACAAATTCAAATGAACATTTTTTTTAGTCAGATTTATAACAAAACCAATTTTCTTTAATAGTAGTTAAAAAAACTTTGATAAATTATAATATAAATACCACAGGGTAACTTTCTTTTTTAAATGCAACTATAAGAGGTGTTTATTAAAAGAATGAAATCAAATCTAAAGAATCAGCTTGTCTTGGATAGGTTATATTTCACACTTAAAATTTCAAGGCATATAATTTTTGAAATATTTCAAGACTGAGCTAATTCTTTTGGGTTAAATTTCACACAATGATCTAAAAATGGAAATATCTGTCAAATAGTTCGCTTTATAATACCGATTGAGCAATTTTTTTTTAAAATTTCAAATAAATACAGTGGTCGGAAATTCTCTACAAAAAATACGAGTCATGTTTAAACAGACTTCTATATGCAGACAAAATTACACATGACGAGTTGAACACAATTCCATCACAACATATCTTTTTTTACATTCAGATTTGGTATCGAAAAACAACCCAACTAAGTGACAAATATTTGATGCTGATATATATATGATGTAATCTCAGTGATGACATTAACATACTGAGTTTAAGCATGGTCACTGGATATTTTATGGCAGAGTTGAAAATATGGAAATTGTTCAATAAAATGTACAACGCCTGTATCCAAATATGTTTCAATCATTTTTCCATCAATCATTTTTACACAAATTTTCATAATTTTTTTTCCATAAAGTCACCAGTGACATGCCTCAGCAATGTGCATAATAAAATAATACCAAATCATCCTCGATTGTTATACAAAGCACTAATTAATGACTTTCATCAGGATAGATAAAAGAAAGACCGGGAACAGACATTTTCCTATCTATGAACTTTTTATGAAAAAATTCCACTTTGATTTACGTAACTTATACCACAATCCTATTTCCCCATTTTTCTATCCTTGCTATTTTTCTTTGTTATCATTCCATAGGAATATCTCTGTTGCAACACCAGCACCTTTTTGCCTCCATATTTTGGGATCCTAGCCATTTTTTTTTTTGTTCAAACTTTAAAGCAATCTTTATAAAGTTACAAGTGTTTCATTATCATTCATATAAAAAGTCCATCTGAAAAAGTTGCACCAAGAAATATCCATTTTAGCTGTACCATATGGAGACAGTGAAAGGCAAATGAAGAGTTATCAAGTTCACATATAAATAAACAATAACTGAGCTAGCGTGGAGTGTGCATTACAAGTCATCTTCGTCATCAGGCAGGGCGCAGTTCACCGCTTGCTGTAAACAGAAAAAGCATATTGTATTAACCAACATGAAATTAATAAGAAGGCAATTATCTAATAGTATGTACTACAAAATAATGTGCAGAAATCATTTTTACTTCTACTGCTCCAACAATAACAGGGTTTGTACACTTGTCTCATGCCAAAATTCAAGCACTTAAAAGCACCTTTTCCCATTTTTCAGGCACAATTTGTGGCACATTTATCATTTAAAATCATAAAACATTGGAAACTATTCTTGACTACTAAATAACATACACTTCATTATGTAAAATTTTTTATACATGTATTGATGTATTGTGCAACTAAAATATTCGAGTATGACCAGCAAATTTAATTATCATTGTTCATCCACTCACACATATATAGTGTAACAAATATCGGTAATATGACTAGCAACCATTATTTGAATCCTTGTTCGTATTCAGTTTCTATAGAACAAGGGGCACAACTATGTTCAATTCATACCTAAACTTGTCAACTGCAATTAGTTCCCTTACTGTTGACATTGAACTAACATTTCCTTAATTGGATCATTTTTGTTCCAATGCAGATTTTTACAAACACTGTGTCATTCAATCATATTCAAGCATATTTGCAGCAAATTTAAGCACTTATTAAATTCAAGGACTTTTTAGCACTTTTTGAGAAAGGGATTCAAATTAGACTGTCAAACCCAAAGTATTTTATTGAAATCATGAATTACATATGCACATAGACTTATAAATTACAGAATACTTAAGTTGAATAAACAGTCAATGTCACCCTTCCAGTATGTTTAGGAGTTACTTACTGCAAGTTCCAATTCGTTCTGTTTTTGTAATTCTGGGTCCATTGTGATATCTGGGGGAGCAAGGGCGGGCATGGCAACAAATTCAAGATTTGGGTCACCAACAAGTTTCCTGGCTAACCACAAGAAAGGTTTCTCGAAATTGTAATTGCTCTTGGCACTGATGTCATAGTACTAAAACAAAGAAACATTTGTAATTTTAACTGAAACACCAACAATCAATTACTTATAAATAATAGAATTATCAAAGAATACAAAATTTGTTATTTCCACATTAATTTTTTTTCAAACTAATCCCTGTAGGCTCCTAATTCTTGCTATCATTACCGATTACTTAAAACAGAATTTACTGATTTTGAAAATTCCACTTGTATAATTTACAAGTACAATGTACATAATAAAGGTAGAAAAACGTCTTCTCATCAACATGGAAAAGTGGAAATTCAATGAAGTAGAAGACTGCTAGCATGAAAATATTTTATATTTACATTTCACAAAGGAAAACTGGAAGCTTAGTCACTATTTTGAGCTATATGTCAAAAATGTTTTGTATATAACACTCACAGATGGATGCATTCGATTCATGCCACTGTCACCAATTTAACATATCTTTTATACATACCCAAAATATCAACTTGACTTTCGATTTTCCTTCATTGAAATATATAATAAGTTTGTCTATATTCAATCTGTCTTTAACTTAATATCTGGATCCAATTAATTAATGGGTGCATCCATTATTCAATACAGTTAAATTTATTTGTAAATTTAAGTTGCAGTTAATCTTGAAAATCACATATGAAATGCAGAATGAGACGGTGAAACAAGCAGGACTAGTTTATTTTAGATGTTACAGAAACATGTAACACCTAACATAGCAAGTATTGTTTATTTAGTTTCATACTTTCTATTTCTAATTAATACAATACCTGGAGATTCTTTTTCCTGTGGAATACAATAGCTTTGGCTTTCACTTTTCTGTCTTTGATATCAACTTTATTTCCACACAAGACAATAGGAATATTCTCACACACTCGTACCAAGTCTCTGTGCCAGTTTGGCACATTTTTGTAAGTTACTCTTGACGTGACATCAAACATTATCACAGCACATTGACCTGTAAATTGGCATAAAAAACATATTAAGTAACATAGAAAGGTTACCATCTTTTAAAAATTACCATTGAATGGATAAAGTGGAAATAATGATTTATGAATGTAAATTTTTAACTGAATGCTTGATAACTTTGTGGATATTACAGTTTATTAATGTAATTTTTAACTGAATACTTGCAAACTTTTACCGTGTTTAAAAGAAATTTTACTAAGTGATGACTGCTTATAACTAATTATTTATGGAAAAAGAGCAATTACATGACTATTCAACAGCAATATATATCAACTTAGTTTCCAGCAAGTTTATTTGCCTTGGGTCTGCAGAACCTGCATGCGAGTGTACACAAATATCTACCCACGGTATCACAATTCTAGTAATTTGATATTGAAACTCCTTCAACTTCAAATAAATTGTTCCAAATTTAGAACAGGGAATAACCAGTACACAAACTTCACAGGGTTTAAGATTTACAAGTATACCTACCTTGGATATAGTAGCCATCACGAAGACCTCCATATTTTTCTTGACCAGCTGTATCCCATACATTATATAAAATTTCTCCTCTGTTGGTGTAGAATTTCAATGGATGTACTTCTACTCCAAGGGTGGCTGAAAAATAAAAGATGGTTCAAAGTTGGACTGGGTGGTTATCAAAAATCTGTCAAGTTGGCATTATAACAAAGAATGTTTTTTAAGTTTTCAGCGTCTTTATATTTCTTTACACAGGTCTGGTAAATGGACCAATTCCCATTTCGTACATGTACCTATGCCAATTACATTAATATATTAACCCCCCCAAGTATTCTTTATAAATACCGTTTAAAATCATGGTAATTTAACTACCAATTTAAGCGACTTACACACAACATCCCTACATTGGTAAACATTTCTAACTAAATGTTTTGACAGCCATTTTAATGTGCCGCGTTTTTTCAAGTTGCAATAATAACACAATAAGGCAGTGATAGAATCTGGTTTCTGTAATGTTTAAAGGTAAATCAGTGTACAAAAATACCGAAGATATATTGATTGTAATGAAACTAAGCTAAACTTGTCTTGTAATTTGATGAAAAGATTTCCAATTAAAAAACTAACATTTTAATTAAACAACGGCTTACACTCCACAGAAAGGTTAAATACCACTTTAATTCTTTCCTTCTTTATTGTTTTATGAGACAAACTTCAAATATATTGTCAATTCAATTCATGACAAACCTTTAGTATTTCATTTCTTAAATATGAACATTTTTTTAAGAATTCAGAATGATTCACATTTCTCGAAAATACTGATATTATAATCCTGACACAAAACATTCCCAATTAGCCCTCTTTCAGGATATGAAAATTCCCAATTTGTCCTAATAAATGAAAAATGTATTTGCGATGGTCGCATTGGCCTACATGTCATTTAGAAATTTTGAAGTGACATTATATGATAGAAAACAAAACTTTATCTGATTACTAAACCAGAATCTTTTACATACCTACGTATCTTTTTTCGAATTCTCCAGTTAAATGACGTTTCACAAATGTTGTTTTGCCAACACCACCATCTCCCACCAACACAAGCTGAAGTTCAAATAAATTGCAAGTATTAGCTATATTTTAAAAAATGCTAAAATGGCAATTTTTTTTTTTTGGAAAAACTAAACAAAACCAAAAACATACAAAGACAAACAAAATATTATTAGTTCACCTAAAGATTTACCAATAACAAAATACTCAATATCATTGAATGTCAGTTTAAATATGAACTTACTGTGGACAAAAAGTTCTTGAACAAACTTAATGTGATTAGGGTTATACAATTTGTTATATTTCTTTTATTAAATGTAAAAATATTTTAGTCAAGAGTTTCATCAGATTGCCATAACCCCAGTCCAGCCAAACTGCCTAAATTCTATTAACATACAAATTGTACAGTTAAAACAACCACAAAAAACTACACACAAGGGAACAACAATGTGACATGCTGTCATACCGACTTACTTTGAATGTTGGTAAATCAACTTGCTGTTGTTCAGCCATTGTTAACTTTCAGTGTTTTCCTGAAGTAAATTAATATAAAACATTTAAATAAAATAACACAACTTTAACTTCAAATTTAATATGAATAATAATGAAACTGAATGCATGAGAAGCAAGAATTTCTTTACCTACCATAAACTATTTGGTAGTTTATGTACGTAATAAGTTTTTTTTATAATTTGATACTTGGTTTATTAACAGAATAGAAGTTTTATCAGGATATGCTTCACTTAATTGACATGCCCGGTGAATGAATAAAAGATTGTCAGATTCCCAGCACAATACACCCATTGAAAGTCTATATATCATATGAACTACGTAAATAATCGAGGTATATAGAGTGAAAAAATACGAGTTATTTCCCTTTTCTTCAAGTAAAATTGATAACGGTTCAGAATTGTTCACTTTTTAGGGGCGAAAGGGTGTAAGCGGCCGGATAGCTCACGGTAGAGCGGTGGAACGGTTGTCTGAAGGTCCCCGGTTCAAGTCCCGGTCAGGCTGCACATTTTTCTCACCCTGTGACATTTGGCGCCCAACATGTGCTTGTGACTTGATAAAGCTCAGTTTAATTTACATTGCTCTGTCACTCTGTGAAATTCAAGGTCGAATTTCAATAAAGCAGGGGATTATGTCACGGTTCAGAACTGTTCACTATTTAGGGGAGAAAAAGTGCAACAGCTAGATAGCAGAGTCAGTAGAGCCGTGGAACGGTATTCCAAAGGTCCCAGGTTCAAGTCCCAGTCAGGCTGCACATTTTTCTGATGCTAAAATGATACAAATTTTGCCGTTTTTAAACCATAAGTTTGGTGTGATTTAATGTCTTATCTTAAGCTAACTCTCAAATTAATTTCAGTTATTATCATTTCACATACATATATACATTTAGGCTATACATTGTTTACTTTTATTGGTCTGAGAGCATGCCTTTATTTACTGGTTCAGAAAAAAACAATTATAAAATCAGTTTCATATTAATTAAAACTATCATGTTTGTTACTAAAAAATGCTATCTAAGAGACAACATACTTACATAGACAAAGATGCCCTTACAAAACAAGAAAATTTGATAATGAAAGAGAACCAGAGAATTTTTGTTTTCTGTAAAAATGATTCTCAAACATTTATAATAGCGGTCACAATTTCTCTGAGAGACAAAACTCACAAATATCCAAACTCAAAATCTTGCCAACAAATAAATGAAACAATAAATGCGCATCCAATTTTAAAATGAAAACGAAACAAAGTACCGTACAAAAATGAAGAACAATACGCGATTAAATATACGAAATTAAGCTAAAATACATATTAAATGTGTTAACTGTATAATATATAAGACATTTCAAAAGAATACCTGTCGCCTGTAAATAATTGTGTAAGTGATGTGAACAGATTTAAAAACGTATATAAATTTCTCAGCTATGGCGCAATTTTGTGTACTTCAAAATCCGGTAAGAGCCGGTTTGAACCAAACTGGCGGGAATTTTCCATGACATTTCCATTAGGAAATCGTAAGAAAATCAAGAAAAAACTTACACAAAACTATCTTAATTAAAAAATAAAATGAACAACAGAAATTGTGTCCCTAATCTAAAGAACTTCCTTCTTTCGAAACTAGTCGATTACCTTGAGTTAAATGGCCGGATCCGGAAAGACTGAGATGAATTTTTGACGCTTGCGCAGTGACAGCGGAAGCGAGACTAGTGTATATATTAAAATTGTATTGATTTTTCCCGTTTTAACATAACTCATGGCGGTTCTGTAGATTTTTGGAATAAAAAATTGGTGTTAATTTAATGTGGATAGCCAGCCGTTTGTGCTGAAAGTAAAGCAGGATGACAAAAGACCGCCTGCCGGCCCTGAAAGCGGTAGGTGTTTCCACTGAAGTAAAAAACGGTGTTGACATACAAAAGTCCGCTGCTAAATATTGACTCACTGTCAAATTTAATAAAATGATTTATTTAATAACTTACATCAAAATTTATTTTTGTTTCTATCCATTTAATACTCAGTATTTTAAAGAAATAGATGCAAATGTGCACTTCATTGACTAAGACATTATATTTCTTTAATATCTGAATTCTGATACATGTTATTTTTCGATCTGTCAGAATTTGTTTAAAATTAAATTGTAGACTGAAGTTGACATATCTTAATCTTTTACTGAAATCAAATTGTAGGTTCAAATCCCAACAGTGTTAACATATTTCTTTCTATTTTAACATTATCACAGTATTATTGATTATGACAGAATTATCATGATGTATGTACCTCTCATTACCATTATTTAAAAGAGTTATCAGACTTCGTCCAACGGACATGTCCGATAAATTTTTATGAGGTCCGACAATTTTTATTCGGTCCGACTGTCCGGCATTTTTCCACGTCGCTAAAGGTGACAAACATGGGAAAAAACTTAAATTTACGTCAGAGGAGCGCGCAGAACAGCAGTAAAAGGATGAAAAGAATGGACCTGAGACAAAATTTAATGAAAAATGGAAGCAGGACCGTGACTCGGTGTATGACAGGGAGGAGATGAAAATGCGCTGTACAGACTGTGCCGATTTTTACGGCAAAAAAATAAAACTGAAAAGTGTCTTAGAAATACAAAAACAAGTTTTCCTTTGATTTTGATTAATTTTATTCGGTCTGACAGATTTCGTTTCGGTCCAATAGATTTTCATGGTTTGTCAGACCGAATGTCTGACACTTTTTTTTAACTTTAGGGAAGTCTGAGTTATAAATACAGTTTAAGTGGTAAAGGTATTTTTTCACTTTAACAGTGTTTCTGCTCTGAGTTTCTTGTGTTTTTCAACTTTTTGACGCACTAATTTTATGAATGACGGAATGAAATTTGCAAATCAAGTTTTCTATCTTATCAATTTATACTGCAACACCCTCTTTCTATTATTATATGCAGGTGCGTGTCTGTGCGAGAGTTTTAAAGAAGAAATGTAAAGGAGAAGAGCTAGTCATCAGTGGTTTAACACTTTCCGTCAGATATGGCCGGTGATTCATATTTGGTTATCTTTGTCCGATCGGTGAAGACCTTGCATATCTCGTGATATAGGTTGCTGTCGGTTATTTGTAATCGACAATTTTTAACATGTTTAAAAATCCCGATCGGTAATTTTTCACCGATAAAACTTATCTTTCCCCAATAGCAGTTGATAGGTGGAAAACAGGTGACCAATAGGTGATATCAGTATTAAATAAGTTGTCATCAGTTCACTCCATAATTTGGCTAAAAAAACTACCGGTCACTGATGGCTCTGTGTAACTGGGGTGTAACATAAGGGAGACACTGCTGTATGTAGGATAGTCCTCAGTAACCCATCGCGCAGCTCTGCGCTGGACCATTTCAACTTTGTGGATGTTCTGCTGAGTGTAAGGACACCAGACAGAACTGGTATATTCAAGCTGGGAATCTAACCAGGGTTTTGTATGCAAATTCCCTTACGCTTGAATTTTTAGAAGGGATGTTTCTTTTAAGAAAGTTTAGAGATTTCTATGACAGTCATTATCTACCTTTATTTGGATGGCTTTTCATTAAATTATTTCTGCTATTATTAGTGCCATCCCAATAACGACAATCAGTAATTATTTTTTGAGTATCCAAAATTCATTTATTTCCGGTAACTGCATGTATGTTTAAATTGCTAACCCGTTCTGTGTCGTTATTGGCACATTTTCTGTCTGACTTTTAACTGTTACACATCAAGTCATGGAATCTGAGATTTAGACATGTACGGTCTGGGTTAACAAGCGATTTGTGCTTGCTGACCCTTTCTCACAAGGGTAAATACACCACAAAAGATAGCCCTGGGCTTTAGTGGCCAAAATATCAAAGTTTCTGATGTAAACAGATATCTGACAGGGTAAATGTTTTAATGCAAATAAGCCTTGGTTCTTCCTTTAAATTACCCCCACAAAAATCTAGTCTGCAGAATCAGTGCTTTAAACTGAATTTTGGCACTTTTAGTTCAAGATGGATGTCTTAACCCTTTCCCCCATGAGCATATTGTGAAAAATGGCCGTTTTCACTGAAAAGTCTCCTGTTACAAGTTCAAACTGCTATGAAACTATGAAAAATTCTTCAATACTAATCAAACTTGGCACAAATGTTGACTGGACCATTGCCTTTGTAACGACATGCTCAGTCTTAAAGTTCCTGTTACCATGGCAACGAGGGGACATCTCAAAATTGCCAAAAATCACTTATTTGCCTCGATTTTTTCCATCAAAATTTATTTCAAAGTGCTGCAACTGCTCAAGGGATTGAGATAGAGTCAAAGGCTTTTCAGGGTTGGTTAAACGTTACATTATGATCGACCTGGGGTCATTCTTAGCCTCTCACAAGTCCAAAATTTTCTTCAAACCCCCCTAACAGAAGGGGGCACATCCCCTTTCTGGCAAGCCCCTGATGTATCTTTTGGATGGGGGGCGGCGCCGAAAAAGTGTTAAATTTTTAAAGCAACATTTCTAAAACGAAAACTTATGTTTTGGGCCCAAATAGGACATTTTTTCACTATTTCAGGCCTAAAAAAAGGGGTGGGGGGTCGAAAGTGCGTTGTTTCGCGTATATATGTGGTAATGGGTTAACAGGGATAAAAAACGTTAAATCACTCTGCTAAACTCCACTTCCCTGCATGTTACACTACTAGTCTTGCATTTCATGCATGATGTTTAAACTGTCATTATTTGTTAAATGAATAACAAATGTACTTATTATTATGCCCCCTTTTGAAAAAAAGGGGGTATATTGCTTTGCACTTGTCGGTCCGTCGGTCCGTCGGTCCGTCGGTCCGTCGGTCCGTAGACCAAATGGTTTCCGAGTGATAACTTAAAGAACCCTTAGGCCTAGGAACTTCAAACTTGGTATGGTGATTGGTTCATGACAAGTAGATGAACCCTCTATTGATTTTGGGGTCAAGGGGTCAAAGGTCAAAGTCACATTGACCTTGTAAGCAAAAAAACGGTTTCCGATCAATAACTAAAGAACCTTAAGGCCTAGGAACTTCAAACTTGGTATGGTGATTTGTCATGATCAGTAGATGACCCCTATTGATTTTGGGGTCAAGGGTCAAAGGTCAAGGTCACATTGACCTTGTAAGCAAAAACGGTTTTCCGATCAATAACTAAAGAACCCTAAGGCCTAGGAACTTTAAACTTGGTATGGTGATTTGTCATGATCAGTAGATGACCCCTATTGATTTTGGGGTCAAGGGGTCAAAGGTCAAGGTCACATTGACCTTGTAAGCAAAAACGGTTTTCCGATCAATAACTAAAGAAACCCTAAGGCCTAGGAACTTCAAACTTGGTATGGTGATTTGTCATGATCAGTAGATGACCCCTATTGATTTTGGGGTCAAGGGGTCAAATGTCAAGGTCACATTGACCTTGTAAGCAAAAACGGTTTCCGATCAATAAGTAAAGAACCCTAAGGCCTAGGAACTTCAAACTTGGTATGGTGATTGGGTCATGATCAGTAGATGACCCCTAACGATTTTGGGGTCAAGGGGTCAAAGGTCAAGGTCACATTGACCTCTTGGGTAAAAACGGTTTCCCGATCAATAACAAAAAGAACCTAAGGCCTAGGAAACTTCAAACTTGGTATGGTGATTGGTTATGACCAGCAGATGACCCCTATTGATTTTGGGGTTAAGGGGTCAAAGGTCAAGGTCACATTGACCTTGTAGGTAAAAACGGTTTTCCGATCAATAACGAAAGAACCCTTAGGCCTAGGGACTTCAAACTTGATATGGTGATTGGTCATGATCAGGAGATGACCCCTATTGATTTTGGAGTTAAGGGGTTAAAGGTCAAGGTCACATTGACCTTGTAGGTAAAAACGGTTTCCGATCAATAACGAAAGAACCCTTAGGCCTAGGGACTACAAACTTGATATGGTGATTGGTCATGATCAGTAGATGACCCCCATTGATTTTGGGTCAAGGGGTCAAAGGTCAAGGTCACATTGACCTCTTAGGTAAAAACAGTTTCGGAATCAATAACTAAAAAGAACCCTTAGGCCTAGGAACTTCGAACTTGGTATGGTGATTGGTCATGATCAGTAGATGACCCCTATTGATTTTGGGGTCAAGGGGTCAAAGGTCAAGGTCACATTGACCTCTTAGGTAAAAAAGCAGTTTCCGATCAATAACTAAAGAACCTTAGGCCTAGGAACTTCAAACTTGGTATGGTGATTGGTCCACGACCAGCAGATGACCCCTACTGATTTTGGGGTTAAGGGGTCAAAGGGAAAGGTCACATTGACCTTGTAGGTAAAAATTGCTTTCCGATCAATAACTTAAGAACCCTTAGGCCTAGGAACTTCAAACTTGGTGTGATGATTGGTCATGACCAGCAGATTACCCTTTCGATTTTGGGATCAAGGGGTCAAAGGTCAAGGTCCCATTGACCTTGTAAGTAAAAACGGTTTCTGATCAATAACTAAAGAACACTTGGGCCTAGGAACTTCAAACTTGGCATAGTGATTGGTCATGATCAGCAGATGACCCCTATTGATTTTGGGGTCAAAGGTCAAGGTCACATTGACCTTGTATGTTAAAAACGGTTTCGGATCAATAATAAAAGAACCCTTAGGCCTAGGAACTTCAAACTTGGCATGGTGATTAGTCATGACCAGCAAATGACCCCTATTGATTTTGGGGTCAAAGGTCAAGGTCACATTGACCTTGTAAGTAAAAAACGGTTTCTGATCAATTAAGTAAAAACGCTTAGGCCTAGGAACTTCAAACTTTGTATGATGATTTGTCTTGACCAGCAGATGACCCCTATTGAGTTTTGGGTCAAGGGGTCAAAGGTCAAGGTCATGACCAGTAGATACTTGATAACCCTTATTAATTGTTTGATCACTGGGTCAGAAGTCATGCATAATTACCTTATCACATGAATAATTGGCTGCTGATAGGGGGCATACATGTTTTACAAACATATCTTGTTTAATTTGATGTCGGCAAGTTAAAGACAGAACTTTGGAATAAATGTATTTCAGACGTTTTCAAAGTTACATTTAAGAAGGAAAACTGGAAACCAAGCCAATAATTTATGGGTATGTACATGTAAAACTGTAGAAATTGTTGATGGGAGCGTGAATTGAATGCACCTGTGGATAGTCAGATTAGTCTGTATGAGTTTGCGTTTTGTGCATACCCAAAAATAATTGGCTTGATTTCCAGTTTTCCATCATGGAATTTGAACATATATAATTTTCAGTCCTGAATTTTCTACTTGTCCAGATTCTACTTGTAAATACCAGTGAAGGAGTTGAATTTTTGAACTCTGCTGCACAAGTCTGGATTGAAGAGGTAGAAAGGGAATCTCGCCCAGTGACTTTTCTCACTTACTTCTAAATTGGGATTTTATGGGAAAATTATCACTAAAATTGCTAATTTGTGAGTATAAAATGCAGGTTTAAGTTCAAATTGTTGGGAAAACTGCATGATTTTAAAGAAAATTTCAATTGGATATCTTGAGGCCCTTTATTGAAGTCTGTAATATAAGCAGCAAAATAACTGTCACCTCTGGTTGGTTTCTTATAATGATTGTTGGTTTCTTATAATGATTATGTTCCTATCAGGAGTCAGCTGCTGTATCCATACAGTTACACTTTTTCAACCTATATCAGTATGCATTTATATCCAATATAATTCATCAGTATGATTATGACCGTCTTAACCGTAAAATAGAAAAATGTTAAACCTTTTCTAAAGGAGTTTAAATGCTTAATGTTTAATATTAAAAGGTTAAACGTTATATAAAATGAACTTCCTTCTATTTGTCAATATTGTTCATTTACAAAAATGGTGACAATTTGAAATGTCTCCCTCCCTTCATTTGAATAATGATGGATAGAATGGCTACCAAACTATTGGAAGTGCACTCTTTCTTGAAAGACAATTATAAACAGCAAAGAGTTTCAATAAAGCCTTCTAGTGTACTAGTCATGTGACAGTGTTAGCAGTATCAAGTAAGTTTAAAAATGATGTTTTGAACGTCTGTAAAAAATCTGACATTATTAAGGAAAGATCAGTTTATAAAGAATGAAACACCCACAGACTAGAACTAGATAATTTAAAACATGAGGATTCTTACCTGGAATTTTTTTCTCATCTGATAGGATGGATTTTTTTTAATTAATTGAATGAGTTAAATTCTGAGAAATGAAACTATTATAATCAATAGATAATTTTTCTTTAGTTCCATAAAAAACTGATTCGAAATATCAGTTTATAACGAAAGAAACAACCACTGACTAAATATAGATTCTCATCTTTTAATTAATTATTTGATTAATCAATTAAATGACTGAGCAAAAATTGTGGAAATGAAACCATTAGAAATAGATATTTTTTTCATTAGTTTCATAAAAAAACTTATTGGATTGCTGTAGAGGATTAAGTTAACATTAAATGGATTTAATTGGCAATGTATAGGTTACCTTCATTCATTCTGTTAAAAAAAAATGTGTACATTGATTCATGCAACATTTTAAAGGGACTCCACTGAGGTTTTTTGACTTGAAATAATTTTTTCGAGATTAATGCTTATTGGTTTACTCAGTTTTTTCAGAATAATTACTCTAACTGTGAAAATGACCTTAAATTAAAAATGTTGCAAACAAATAGGGCTAAGAACAGCATAAAAATTAATACGATTTTCAATTCATTTCTAAGCTTCTAAATATATATCTTATTTATCATTTGCACATCTTTCTATTTAAGTGCCCCAGCTGATTTAATAAAATGTAACAAATCCTCATTTTATGTTTCTCAGCGGATTTCCTTTAAAAGAGTATACATTTATAAGATTATAATTATTATAAAAGCATAAATATGACATAAATTTCTCATCATGTTCAAATATCTTATAGAGAGTTGAGAATGACATTATATTAATATGTAGGCATATTGATTAACTGACTTACCTTTTAAAACATGTACATGTATCCAAGAAAATTTCTTCTTTTTTAACAAGTCCTGATTATAGTGAATGCAGCAAAAATCTGAACACAATGTTACTGTTAAATGTACATATAAAATATGTTCAGCTGTAATAAAACAGCTGGTAATTTTAATGAATATATTAATGTAATATTTCAATATAAGAACATGTATTGTTCTCACATGACTATTAACCTGCATATATATACAGTATGTTTATGATATGACAAACTGTTACAAGTGAAGAATTATTTAGCTTTAATAATCTTACTTCTTAATTCTTTGTTGCCACAATTGGATCTATTAAGTGCAGTGATTAAAAGTGAAAAGGGATTTTAAAGACTTTATGTAATGTGTTGTTAAAAAAGTGTTAGCGCAAACAAGGGGAAGCATTTCCTGTGATAATTTTCATATAGAGTTGTCAGCACCTGTCAAAGTAACCTTTTGTTTCTATAGAATAATAACCACCTGAACTTCCTGCCCTAGATCTGATCAATTATAAGAAGTTAATTGTTTCCTTTTTATGAAGGAGGGATAACTTTTTTTTTCAATTGTGATAGATTAAAGGGATTATATTTTGCCTGTGCATATTAAACTGCACAAGGTTAGATCTTATTTTATTATCAAAACTTAACCTGGTTTCCTTTTCTTTTTTCAAAAATCTGTTGGTTTCATTTGTTTTTTAAAATTTTCTATTAATGTAAGGTTTTCCTTAAATTCCTATTTTTTCTGTGATTTTTTATGACACTATGTACAAGACTAGGTTACATCCCTTTTTTGCAGGTATGAAAAGATTTTTTTTTTTTTTGGTTAGCAATTTCACTGTTACTCTGGCAACTGAATGAAAACATGTCACATCAGACTTGAAGATTGCGGCAAGCAATTTTCTGTGATCTAATCAAGCGTTTCTTTGAACTGATTATCCAATACATGTAGAGACAAAGGTCAAGAAATTAAGTGCTGATTTGTTCTATTTCTGTTGGGGAAAGAGACAAAATATTGCCTGCTTGATTCAATTTAAACTTGCCATTGTTACAAATAGCTAGTCATCGGCATAAGTTTCTGATTCTTTGGATGGTGAAATGTAGCAGAATTTTATTATTGTAGAAGTTAACATACATGTATCGTATTACATAACAATTGTGTTAACAACATTTGAAGCTGGAGGAATGAAAGAGTTCCATGTGATCAATTTAGATATTTGGTATCACAGCAGTTCTGTTGTTAAATATGCTGTAAGTGTCAAAAAAATAAAATTTCAAACCTACATGTTTCCTATATACACAAAAATGAATTTGAGAGTAAAGCAACTTATTCACACTTGTTTTCCAGCTTTACATAATATTTTGTATTGTACATGTACAATACAAACTATTAATAATGTGGTGAAAGTGGGATTCAGAACTTTCAAGACAAGGATCATTATGGAAGAATCTAGTTTCACAAATCGTAGTGATTTAACAATACCCCTTGATATGAAACAGAATAATATTTTGTGTTGTTTTATACAAATAATATAAATTTATTACATGCTTTTCGGTGGTTTATAGAAATATATCAGTGATATAAAACTGGTAATTTCACTGTTTGAAACAGTGAAATTACCACTTTGATAATTTCACTGTTTTGAATTTAAGCCCCTTACGTTGTTTCAGTGAAATACCAGCGTGCACAGTACTGGGTACCAACTTCATGACGTGACGTCGTAAATGACGTCACGTTGTATTATTATTTGGCGCGCTTTTCATTAAGTATTAGGTTTAATGTCTTTTAAAACGTTTCTTTGCATATAATAAAAAGAAAATTTGTTTAGTTTAGTGTAAGATCTAAATATATTTCACCTTGTGAACACCAAAAGATCATATTTCACTCGTGGCTGCGCCACTCGTGAAATATACCTTTTGGTGCTCACTCGGTGAAATATATTCCGATCTTACACTGAACTAAACAAATATCCTCTATATTTTCGTTAGTCACATATTTAAGGAAGTATTGATATCTCTCTTCTGTATTGTTAGAAATGCCCTTGTAATACTAAGAATAATATTGAAGCAACAGTCATTAGTTTAAGATTCTACGGGTATATAGCTATATCCAATGAAATATTTTTGAATAATTTATAAATGGTAAAATTATGTTGTTTCTATATCCATATAGAAAATTCTCGAAAGAGTTGAAAATAAAATGTAACAAGACACCAAATATAAGAAGACCTTTTGAGAAATAACAAAAAAAAACAACATTTCTTAGGCATATTGGGCCTTTACTAGCAGGGATAAGTTTAAAGAAGCTTGGAGTAATAAAAGTATTTTACATTTTATATTTTAGACCCAGAGTGATGATGACGAGGCTGAAGAGGTACAAGTTGGGGTGGACTCTGGGGGCTTTATGGACGAGTTCTTCGCACAGGTAATGTAATAAAACAATTAAGATTTTAATATATATCATATTCATAACCAAATTGGGTATTGACTATCACAGATGGGTGCATGACCCACACCCTTGGGACTGGAAAAAAAGACGTTTGGGCAGTCAACATCATAAATTGCGTACAAGTATGAAAATATTGTCCTTAACTGAAACGGAAAGAGCTCAAACACTTTACAACACCTTTAACACAGTTGTTTACATAAGGAAACTTTGGACCATCAATTTTAGGGGAAATGATAATAAATTTATTTTCAATGAAGAATACAACAGAATTAGTGTCTATAAAATAAGCCAAAATAACCTGAACAGTAAAATTCTGTAAATGTTCTTTCTAGGTAAAGAATGATTTACAAAGATTTTTAAGAAAAAAAGGACAATACAATTTTTATCAAGCTTAAATTTGCTTTTGATTTGATAAAAGGAATTAATACTCATAATTTTCACAGGGAAGAAAAAATTGAGTCACATAATGAAAGAGAAAAAAGCTATGTGTCATAATTCTTTTATATCATACACACCCATTCATCAATAAGCTGATATGTTTATTGATGGCTAAAATGAGAAAATGTCTGAATTGCTAGGATATTGAGTCGGTGATGAAATGTTTTGTCTTATAAGTACAGTGTGATAACGGATGATCTGATTCATGGTATGTTTTGCCAATAAAACTTACCAGAAATTACTATTTAGGAGAATGAGTTCTCTAATTGAAATGTCTTCAAAGGTGGGAATTGTTGGGGGAAAAAAGTTTTCATTATCCAAATTACTTCACCTAGTGCCCTAGTTGTATCACTTAATGTCCAAGGTTCATCACTGTTGTATTAAGTACATCATTTAGTGCCCTAGGTTCATTACTTAAGAGCCCTATTTTCATCACTAAGTCCCCTAGGTACACCACTAAATATGTAAGGTACAAAGTTTATTTATCAGAACCATTAGGCTTAAAAGCCCATGAGGCATACATATAAAAAACTTTATGATGAACAGTTTATACATTTAACAATAATTTCATTATAACAATATATCTTGCAGACATAATTTACTTTGTAAATCACCAAGTTTCTTTGTTACATCAATCAATGCCCTAGCTACATTACCAAATGCCCTAAACTGCATCACAGTGTATTGCCCTCAAACAATACTTGGTAGGGGTCACACTGGCTAAAATCTTTTTTCCAACTTCTTAAAGTGTAAAAATTGATAAAAATTTCAAGCAGGTACTTTGCCCAAGACATTTTGCAGTCTCAATTGGCCATTAAAGGAATTCATTCATTTCTAATGACTAATCTAGGTTAATTAATCATGATGAAAATTTTCTGAGTTTTGTTAAAAAAGTCGTTTTCAAACTGTGTTTTCTCTAGAAAACTTGTCCATTTTTTACTTTTGCACAGTCAAGAAACAAGTGAAGATATTTTCCATTAACAAGTTCTATTTTGAGACTTTCTCCAATCCTTGAAAGATTCTGGAGTTAAAATACCAACACGGCAGTTTAAACCAATGGGACTGCAGTGGCCTTCTACTGATTCCCTAACTGTGAGATTTGACTGATTCCTTCATTGTGAGTTCTGTTGTGGGTTCTGACTGGTTTCCTTACTGTGGGTTCTAACTGATTCCCTTATTGTGGGTTCAGACTGATTCCCTTATTGTGGGTTCTAACTGATTCCCTTATTGTGGGTTCTGTCTGATTCCCTTACTGTGGGTTCTGTCTGATTCGCCTACTGTGGATTCAAATCAAGTGTAAGGCATTTGCATTTTTTTACATGCCAGAACGCTATCCAATTAGCTGTCAGATCATACTTTTTATTTATAACATTCAAAAAATAGATGCAGGTCACAGTTTGAGAACTTTGCCTCCCCACCCCCTTTCTTTTTATCATACCTTTAAGAAAACGTGAAAGAAAAAGTAACTTTAAGAATAATATATAATCCAGGCATTTAAATAATTTAAGAAATGGATTAAGATATTCAAGAAAGATTGAAATTCAACATGAACTACTGAAAAATGGGCAAACAAGGTGCTGAAACGATACCAATAAGAGTATATTACAAGGCCAATCTGAATGACTTTGTGCAGTCTGACCCGGCTTGAATACTGTTAGTAGCCCAATTTTAGGAAGACAATTATCAATATATTTTTTGATGAAGACAATTATCAATATATTTTTTGATGAACTCCATTTTTTGCTGTGTATTCTATATGATTAATTGTTTCTTTTGTGTACAAATCCTTCCTCTAGCTGGAACAAATACAAAGTATTGCGTGCAAAGAGTGGTGGATAGGGGCATAGGGCAGCCTTGCATGACTTCAAGCAGAAATTAATCTCCTCAAGGAAAAAAATAAATGGTTCTTTGAGTAAGAAGTAAAAGATTTATGAATCTATGTTGTTAAACAGATAATCTTCCAAACTACAAAATCACCTTCTATTGTTACTTTCGGTATAAAATGTACTTTTGCTTGTAATTTCGATATTTAAATAAGAAATGGACTCTTCCAGAGATTTAAAGCAGGGTAAATCCATTACATAGATTCAGCAGGTTAAGGGTTAAATTCTGTGGGAAAATATCCAGTCTAATGAAATGTCAGAGAAGACAGGGAATTTATTGTGACAATTTGATTAGGACTGGTCAGCTGCATAGAGACACGTCTGATGTGTGTTTAGCTAAGTATTGGAAACATGTTTATATGTCAGCTTTACTTGGGAAAAAATTATCTCTTAGAGCTCTGAGTCAGGGGTACTTGGTTCAGCGTCGTTGTAACTGGATGGAAATAAAGGGAGAGTAAAAGACCGTGTTGTCTCAGACTTTAGGAAGGAGTAAGTAGAGCAGGGGGTTGCAATATGACCTCTTAGCTGGGTAAAATCCCCAAGCAATGTCAGTGATTTTTCACTGTAAATATCCGAGGCCTATAAAGGAAGAGCAGTGAAAATTTTCTTCAAAATCACACAGTTTTCCCAAAGTCTTCAAAGGCTTTTTTACTTCCCAAATTTGCATTTTTTGTGTGATGATTCTTCCCAAAAGCAAGAGGCTAGGGCCTCATCCCCTAATTACTGAATGTTTTTAGCCATCTGGCTCCTTTATGTTTCTTTCTTTGGAGGTACTGAATTGACCCTCTGGAACTGAAAGTTATCAGTCTTTGCCCCCAGTATAGAGCCAGACCAGCCTGCATATCCATGTAGTCTGACCACTGTGACCAGGCTGTGCATGTACACTGTTGGTTGTCAAATTTCAAACTTAAGTGATTTAATAACCAGCAACATAATACTTATGTCCAAGCAGTCTGATATGGATTTAATATTTCCTTGATGGATACAGAAGTTCGCCTGTGTAACGCAAGCCTACCTAACACCTTACTGCTGAGTCTGACCAGAATCTAGCATAATGTTTGATACAGTAGAGACTTATGTCAGAAGTATAGAGCTACAGCTGCCGACATACATTGTGCACTGTAATTTAAAATCAAAATATGTATGTATTTCCATATTTTACATATCTAAACCAGGATATGTTCATAAACCAAATTCACTCTTATCATTTTTTTTTTGTCTTTCTTATTAAATAAGTGCATAAATTTAGGCATGTCAGGAAACATCAGTACAGATTAGAATGTTTACTGAGAATTATAATAAATTATAATAGGTGAATGATTTTTAATTTCCTCATTGTTTTTAGAACTACATAGAAAATTCATAAAGATGTAAGAATCAAACAATTTTCAAACCATTGATAACATAAAAGATTCCCCCCGCTCCCCCCCCCTAGATTTTTATATTTTTATACCAGTCCTCAAGGTTTTTGAAAAAAAAACGACAGTTAATTATTAAAGAATATTTTCGATTTTTTATCTCAAGGTTAAAAAAAGTGCATAATTTGCTCAAAAAACATGCATTATAGATTTTGTAGCAATATTTACTTAGTACCAATTGAAACTACTAAATCAATTTGGTTAGTTATTGTGCAATTGTCAGCAATAAATAGATTAATTATTTACAGAATTCAATTAATCAGTGAAATCTATAGTTGGATAATGTTAACAAAATGTAGCTGGAGGCTCAGTTAGCAAGACATAACCGTGATTTACGACATAGCGCCACCCTCGATTATTGAAACAAATCACTTACAGCCAATATTACTTAATATGATATATAATTTACATGTTTCTTCTCCAATGTTCATTGATTTACCATTACCATGGCCTCGGTACCAGATCATAATATCAGTTTCTATTATTTATATACAGTTACGTCAGTTTTACCGCAGATCTGACAGAATATTTAACAATAGTCTGTAACACACATTATTTCCTTGTGCCCCGATCTGCTGTAATCATTAAAATTCTATATCAAAATATCGCCTATTTTTATGCCCCCGCCATATAATGGCAGGGGCATATAGTGTTACCCTGTTCCGTCATTCCGTCATTCCGTCCTTCCGTCCTTCCGTCATCATCAGTTTCCGTTCATTATCTTAATAACCCTTGCACATATTGAACTCAAATTTGACATATGGATATGTCATGAGAAAATACAGGTCAAGTTCGAAATTGGTCATGGTTCGATGATTTTTGGCAGAGTTATGCCCCTTTTACATTGAAAATAATATGAAATTTTCAGTTTCCGTTCATTATCTCCCAAACAGTTCAAAACATTCAATTCAAAATTGACATATGGATATGTCATGAGAAAATACAGGTCAAGTTCGAAATTGGTCATGGTTCGATGATTTTTGGCAGAGTTATGCCCCTTTTACTTTGAAAATAACAGAAATTTTCAGTTTCCGTTCATTATCTCCCCAACGGTACAACACATTCAACTCAAACTTGACATATTGATATGTCTTGAGAAAATACAGGTCAAGTTCAAATTTGGTCATGGTTCGATGATTTTTGGCAGAGTTATGCCCCTTTTACTTTGAAAATAATATGAAATTTTCAGTTTCCGTTCATTAACTCCCCAATGGTACAACACATTCAACTCAAACTT